TTTATCACCATCTATTCGCACTTTGTGACATAGAAAGTTTTTTGGAAAAAATGTGGTATTCTTCAACTTAATTTGACAACTTAGTTTGTTACTACTTAACTAAATGTTGTTTTTTTAGATATAAGAACCTTCTTCAAGTTTTTTAAAAAATGTTAAATTATCTGTAATCTTTTGAATGACAACGTTTTTTATTGGATTTGGATTGTTAGTACTTGCAGTGAGTTTAGTGTCTTTGTCTTGCCATTGTTTTAGATGGTTTAGTAATTAATTTTAAATGTTTTAATAAAACAAACTAATGGGAATCACTTAAAGCTAGTAAATAGTAAAAAAGTATTGTCTCAGATGTTTCACTGTTTCACATAGTGCAGCTTCTCTTAAAGAAATTCCATAACAGAAATACTTCACTAAACAGCCCGACTAATTAAAATCAAAAACAATTAATCAATCCGACTTTCTCTCTATAAGTAATGTTAACTAATTTTATGTATTTAGTTTTTTGTAATTTTTTCATATAAATACATACAGTTTGTCAGTTATTTAAAAGATATGTATACTCGCATTAAATAAATTAATTATAAAGTATTTAATTATCTTAAAAAGAAAAACTGTGTTGAATAATAAAACACTGCAAACTAAAACATTAGGAAGGAAATTTCTTCTTAAAGATGGTATATATTTATAATTAAGAAGAACATTTTTCACATTTTTAATAGTATAGAAGACCTCAATTTATTTAGTAGAAGTTTTTGAAATATAAACGATTTAGTACCACTCATAAAAAACCTCTTTGTTATCAATGAAAAATGCACTGCAATTTAGAAAGTAATAGCAAAGAAGATAGGTAATAGGTTAGAGATGAAATGAGAGATCCCTAATTCTCAATATTTTAGTATAAATACAGTAATCCCCCCTATAATGCGGTACTCTTATAACGCGTTTTCATATTTCGCGATTTCAATCTCCCGTATAACACGGGCATTCCCCCCTATAACTCGGGGATTTGTACATGAAGCTCCGAGTACCTTTGCTGTGTGTATTACGGAATGAGTAACGGGATCTCTTCGTATAAGAGTTTTCCCGTATAACCGGACCAGCTACCCCGTTATCGCGGTACTGTATTTGCATTTTATTAGGTAGGAAAACTACTTAAACTTTATATTTTTGTATCTATGAAAGTTTTAAAAATATTTGTTAAAATTGAAAATACATTAAAATGAATTTTATGTTTTGCAGTTAAGTTCGGTTTTTATGACAAATTATGTGTTAAATTTATTGGCAATAAAGTTAAAGTTTATTTATGTATTTACACCTGAGGCAAATCGTACTCTATAATATTTATTACATTTTTAAAAAATAATTCATGTTTAGAAAAGTGTATTTAATGCATATATTTTACTTTTAACATAAATAAAATATACTTATTTATAATAATTATAATACACACATATTTATAATAGTTTTTGTGTACCAACTAAATAGTTGTATTTGCTGGTACACTATAAAAAATACTCTAATAGATTTCCTGAACTTTTTCAACTAAATATTTTCTAATTATTCTGTATTATGATCTTAAAATCGTTAAAGAGTAAAAGTTATTTTAATTTTTATATTCATTTGCTTGATTAAATATACTTATTATATTTCCGCGTGTAAAAAATTTTAATGATTATATTTTACATTTTCTGAAAGAGGAATGCACCGTATTTTTTTAAATAGTTTGTCTATTTTCTCTCAGAGTCGCAAAAAATACGGCGACTGACGATAAGGAAGACACTCAAATCAAAACAATGTCTTAAAGATGTTCAGAGTTAGGTTTTACTTCGAAAAATTTGTGTTGTAAATTTAATTGTAGCCGAATCTCAAAAAATCAATGTGTTATGAATAAAATTAATGGATGTAATCTCTCTCAAGAGGCAATAAAATCTTGTTAAGTATGTTCTATACTACTTTTTGTATTGACCAACAGCGTTTAGAGAGCTACTTTAAGCCCAGAAGGGGGCACAATAGATCCGACGGTCGCAGAGCCACATCCTCTAACAATAATAATAATACTAATAGTAATATATATTATTAATTAATAAAAGCTTTATGAAATCATTTAAACACATTTTATCTATCAATTAATAAATACAGAGATTTTATTTAATAATTAATTCTTTAGTGCCTTTGTTTACATTTTACATATAAAACATATGACACATATTTTTTTTTTAAGGGTTGCATTCGACATTTTTCGTTTTAAATGAACTCATTCATTAATAATGATCTTATTTAGGTACATGTAAGATTTTCGTATGATAAATCATTCTCATTAGTGGCTATAATAAGCAAAAGCGCCTAAATAAGTCAATGTGAATGTGTTATTAGTCATTCTTACAAATTTTTATTTATTAATAATTTTATTATTGTTAAATAGTGATATTTACTACTATTTACTACCTATAGATAAATTATGTAACCTTCATGGTTTTTCAAATCTGTAATTCTCGATAAATTATGGTATTGATACTACTTTACCAAGTCTTATTTCTTTATCCGATATATGATATCCGCCTTTGTATTTCTTTTGCTTATGCATTAGCACCGAGCTGACTTTCAGCAAGTTCTTTGCGGTCTCATTTTATAAAATCATATAAAAATCACAAATTTGTCTAGAGTAAATTTCCAGGTTAGTAAGGTAATAATTCCTAAATTCTGAAATGTCCTATTAAAATACCTGTAATAACTTTTAAGTTGTTTTTTTCAGTTTAATAAAACCTTTAGCTGGAAAGTCTTTTAAAGTAGGTTGTAAGCCTCTTCAAGAAATGTTGGCTCTGAAAGCCCAGATCATTTTTTTATTACAAAATATGATATATATTGTCTTCTATACATGTAGGGGTGTTAAAATAGATTCGACAATTGTTTTTATGAATTATTCACGTAATTTTTGTAGTTTTGGTTGAAGTTATTGTTATTTAATAATTGTATTTTGAAAATCCTCATATGTCTCCAAAATCTTTTACTTCCTTCGGAAACTCAGATATGAAATTATAGAACCCCTAAATTCATCACTAACACTTTGTTATAGTCACTATTGATGATTTTTCCGTATATGCCAGTAATAAGTCTGTCAATATTTCAATTGAAAGTAATATTTTGGAGTTTCACTTATCAAAATCCCCCTAAAGCTATAAAACATTCACTTTTGTTGGTTTTTCCCATAACCCAATAATAAATCTGTCAATATTTCATTTCTTTTAACTTGGAACTACTATTTTCTAGTTTCACCTATCAAAATAACCCAAAACTATATAATATTCACTAAGGATAGTTTCTCCCATTTAAAAGTAATCAAACAGTTTTATTCCAGTCGCATTCTATTATATTATACTTAAATCATGACCTCTTCCATCGTCTGTTATGTATTTTCTTGGCGGTTGTTGCTCGTGATAGATATGTCATTGTTGCATTACTGAAATCGTATAAATGAAATGCAGAAAATAAGCGTTTTTCGTTATCTTTTTTTATTTTGAGTTTTTCGCATGTCCACTTCATGACTATTTTATGTCACACCTTTCCGTATACCTATTAATGCGTTTTCTATCGACTTCTCTAGTTTTCATGATTTTTCTTGAGTACTCAGTTTTCTTTATAAAGTAAAATAAATAATAAAAAATAATATTAAGCTCGAAAATAGAATAATTTGTCATATGATTAGTAGTTTTTACATAAATGAATACATACATGAATTTTTATATATCATATCACAAGGTATACAAAAATAAAAAAAATTCCAAAAAATGTTTATTATACAATATTCAAATAGTAAATAAAAATCCAACAAGTTGACGTTAAACAGCTGTGCCTAGGACACTTTTTTTTTAAGTAATATTGCCCAAAATAGAAAACGACGTCATAAATATAATGAACATTTTATATAGTGAAGTAACTGTGCGTGTTAACATAATTATATGTCATTACTCGAGTATTGCTAATTAAAGACTGAATTACTCCTTCCGGATTTGCTATTTAAGAAGAAGAGTATCATTAATGCGTTGTTGTTATATTTGCGGCCAACTCTACTGGAAATACTATTAAAATACTATTACACCAGAAATGGCGAAGGATGAATTTTCTATTTCCTTTAAGTTCTCGAATACCGTTAATTCCATATACTGCGCATGTACGGATTGTGTCATGCAGGACAACAACAATGAAATTTCGATTTTGACAGAACAACAGCGAGTTCAGTACGAAAAGGAAAGTGCAAAAATTTGTTGTGTCAAAAACGCATTTCATGAAAATTTTGCATTGAGTTGTTAAATTTGAATTATTAAATTCAAGATAAAACCAAATAAAGTTGAAACAAATGCATTTAAACCACTGTCATTGGAGTAGTAGTTGTATATTGCAGCCAACATGTCCAATTTATCAGCGAAAACATCACCGATAGGAGCACGACGCGTACGAACAGATTTAAAAACATCTGAAAATATTTTTCTTGCCAAGTATAGCAATCGGTCAAGAAAAACCTCACCAATTGGCATAAAACAAGTGCCAAACCACTACCAACAACAGCAGCAGCAGCAGCAGCAGCAAAACCATCACTTCAAGGAACAAAACTATTACCAACAAACGCATAGGTCCATTGTACCAGCAATAAGTCAGCAGGAACAGAAGCAGCACAATACACGCATACCGAAAGCAACTGCCAATTTAGCGCAAACTCAAAGTTCAAGGCGAACTTCAACAGCAACTGTTGCAACTAACAGATACTCTATTGCCGCAAATGCCTTTAGCAATATTAAATGTACAAATTATTTATCCACAAGTGCGCCAACAGATACATATGCAACGGTTCCGAGGTGCAATACTGAATAAAATTATTTATTTCATTTAGTTGTTCTTTATTGATTGTTAGATAAATGCAATAATTTCTTATATATCTTTTTTTAATTTAACATTTATTTTTTTAATTAACATTTTTAAATTAATTACACAATATTTTTTCTTCTTTTCAGTGCTCACTTGCCCGCACGTGCAACCCGTCTACTCAATCGTTCTCGCCTGCAACAACAATGTCCCATTAGCAACGCCGATTCCGACAGTTCCAAGTCTGCACACAGTGTACGACGCAGTGTGGCTGCATCACGTGCTTCCTCTGCTTCGACAGCATCGAATGCCTCATTGCACCGCAACACACATCTGCATCAACGGGACTCACACAGCTCCTCGGACGATCTCATGCTGTATGATAAATCATTTCGGAATGCAATGATACAGGAGGTACTGCAATTTAAAAAGCAATTGTTGCGTTTGCGTCGTATACTGCAGGAGGTAAGTTGAAGTCGTAGCTTTGGAGTTTTGGAGTGAAGTTTTTATGGAGTTGAATGCTCTTTAAATTTATTTTATATTGAAATTGATTTTATCTTTTATTTAGAATTTTTCTTTTATTTTTATTCTTATTTTTATTTTTATTTCTCTTTTTCAATTGTCTTATAAACTTCTCCATATTGGCACTTGGCACTATGGCACTTTGCATGCTGTTTTATCAATTGCACCATCATCCTTCTTGCTTCCTTTGGCTTGCCTTCAAATTCGAATTCCATTTTAATTTCATTAAAATTTTATTTGCTGCTTGGCATTTTGTGTAATAACATCAGGATGAAGACGGTTTGACGAGGGTACGTTATCATTTTTTATCATTTACATTTTAATATCTTTTATGTTATGCTTAATTTATTAATTTTTTATTATATATCATATACCAAAGTTTAATAATGAAGACCACTGACCATGGGTATGCGAGTACTAACCACGCACTCGAAACTGCGTGGTCAGCTAAAAATTTCAATTAATTAATTTATAGTAATTAAAAAAAATGTTTGTTGTAATTTCACTACTGTTCGATAAAAACCGCTGTACTAAAAATAATATTTTATATATTAAGAATTTATTTTTTTTCTGCAAAACGAACGTTAAAAATTAATTTGATATAGAATCTAAATTTGAAATATTTTATGATATATATTAGACGACATAGGCCAATATAAACGAGTATAAGACAATTTTCATATCTAAACAAGTACAGATATTACTTTGGCTTTTCAGAAATTTAAATACATTTTCTATAGAATTCAAAAACTATATTGAAGTCTCAGTGATATGATTTGTATATATAAAATAATATATAACGACATATATGTAGTGAAACATATATTTATTCTACATATATGTATAATAATTTATGTATAATTTTGAATATTCGTTAAGGTTTCATTAATATAATATAAAGTCAACATAATAATATAATAGTCCTCAGGGACATCAAGATTGATCCCATCAAAAAATACGTAAAGGATAGAGCCCTGAAAGTAATTGCGAAACTGACAGACTTACCAACATCGCGTTATCAAATCTCAAAATGGTTACAGGCTCCTCGGGGAGGTATGCAGATCTGAGGTCAGTTATTGCTTAGTCTGATGAAGTGATAAACAATAATCTAGTCAAGATATGAAGAGAGGTTTTGAAAATAACTCGAGTTAAGAAAGAGTAAATGTGCTTAAGTGCACTGGCTCAAAACAGCTTCAACATAATATAAGAGTTCCGAAAGTGTTTTGATTCTACATTAAAGTGTCATTTATATGATAATATATAAAAAAATTTAATATCAAAAAATACAAGAAGGATAGAGCCCTGAAAGTATTTACGAAGACTGACAGGTTTACCAATACCGCGTTATCGAATCTCAGAATGATTTCAGGGTCCTCGGGGAGGTATGCAGATCTGAGGTCAATTATTGTTTAGTCTGACGAAGTGTTAAAGAATAATTCAGACAAGGCATAGAGAGGGGTTATGAAGAATCTCGCAGTTAATAGAGAGTAAAATACAAGTACACTGACTCAACTAGCCTCAACGTTATAATAATATAAAATATATATTAAAATAAAATATTTAAAAAATATCTTATAGTATGACATATATAATAATAAAATATATCAATTTATTAAATATATCGTCAATATATCGATATCAATATATATATAATATATCAATAATATGAAACTACATAATAATATAGTATATCAAATACTTTATATATTTATACTAATAAGACCTAAATAAATATTACATTTTAAATAAATATTAAATTTTGTAAACTAGTAAAGTGGAAGGTGCTTTTTGTGTAGATAGCAGTACACATAGTAACTCTTTCATCCACGAGGAGTTCCGTTAACTTCTCGTAGAACATATGACCTTTTCCTATAGTATAGAGTAAATATCAAGTATTAGTTAGTAAGACAAGTATATATCGATAGCGTTCTGCAGTTGATTAATATATAAGTTCTAAATTACACAGGATAAATCTGCTTGTAAGACAACTTTATTTAAACCTAAACGGATGGATATAATTTCTACAATGAATATTCTCAGTAGATACCTAAATTTTGATTAAGAACTGAAAACATTGAAAATAGAAAAAGTTTTTCTAAGTAAAATATATTCCTAAATCTTCGTTTTATTTGCGAACTTTATAAAACTGAACCGATCAACCCCATTTTAATTAGACATGTTAAATGCACAAGTAATTTATATATTATTTTAAGTACATATATCAGGCAAGAAAAAAGGTTGGTAGTATTCACAGGTGACGTTATTTAATTAAATTAAAACAAATAAAATTGAATTAAAGTAAGTTAAATTAATTTATTAAATTTTTCGTTGATCATACAGCTGTTTCAAATGTTGCCAAACACCCAACTCAAAATTTAATTAATAAACGAATAATAAAATTTTGTTGTTGTAATTCACTACTATTCGAAAGACCTCTCTGTTAAAACAATTGTTTCTATTAAGAAACATGGTTTCTTTCGTTTTAAATTTTAACAAATATTTTAATGAAAATATTTTGTTATACATAAAGATATATATATATATATATATCTCACGAATGCAAAAATTTTCGTGCATCAAAATCTATTGTTAAATGAAGTATATGATTGTTGGTAAGAAACTGATAAAATTAGTGGCAAGTCCCTATAAAAAATGAAATATGTGAGTGTTTGATGAAAAGAGAAGATGACAATAGTGATTTCCTTATAAGAAACTTTCCAAACTGATTTGCATGAACCGACGAAAGTATTTATCTAACAACAATAGACTTAATTACCAGCAACCTGTACTCCAAACAGTTTTAATGATGCTGCAATTTCCTATAATTTTGCATTAATAAAAATGAAATTCATTTGTGGCGAATCATGAAGTACCAAAAAGAGAAGTCACCTCAGTGGGTCATGGGAGCATGCGAAAGATTTGCTTCGAGTTTTGTGTTATACAAAATAAATTTTTAAAAATAAAATAGCAACATTTTCTCATACCAACTGACAACTTTTTTGTGCAATTTTTTTGTAACAAAAATGCTAAAGTTGTCACCTTTTGCAATCTTCATGCTTCGAGCTTAGATACAAAATAATTATGGCGTGTCATTAAAAAACTTCAAAGGAAATGTCTAAAAATTTTAATCAATTCAGTTGTAAAATTAAGTGAAAAATGTGATGGTGTAGGAAAATGTTAATGATCGAATAAAAAAATATTGAAAAAAATAATTTATTTACTTTGAATATCGAGATACTTAATCAAAGTAATTGTAAATAATTAAATATTTTTGTTTTAATGTTTAGAGTTTATATAAAATATGCATTTAAGTAAATATGAATTTAAAGTAACTTAAATATATATTATTTATAAATAATACATATACACAAACACCTATTTTTCATAGAAAATTTATTTATAGTATTTATAAATATAATTATAGTATATAATGTATTTATATCCGAAAAATGTTCTTGTTAGTTTCGTTATTAGTTATTAGATTTTTTGAATGTTCCAAACTGAGGATCAGCAGACGTGTTCATCTTGGGTACAAACTCATTGCATTTGCTCTACTTATCAAAGACAATAAAACTAAACTACTTTTTATTAAACCTCAAAAAGATCTTATGACAATAAAAGATTAACTGTGTTATGTTGCCCAGTGTACCCAACATGCTAATAGCAATAATACAAGTCTAAATTAAGATATTTGATAAAAATAGATTTAAAAGAAAAAATATTTTCTGTCTCAAAAAAAAACTAAATTATTTTAAAAATTAAAATTAAAAATTATTAATAATATAAAGTTATTAAAAATCAATATTAAATATTAAAATGAAAAGTTATTAAAAATTAAAAAATTATTTAACAATATATAATAGTCCACTTCTGGACTCTCAGGAAGATATGCTGATTTAAGGTCCGTCATCAACTAAAAGACAAATAAATGATATGATTTCTTAGCCTAGTTAAAACCTTATGTGGGGTTAAGATAAGCCCCCCAGCCATTATAGAGTAAAAGTACGTAATAGAACTAACTCAAGAAGAAGAATCAAGAATCAAGAAGAAAATATTATATACTTTAAATTTCCGGTTTATATTTTTACTAATTTACTTTGAACAGAATTTTGTATTATTCGTTTGGCATTGAATAAGCCAATAACATAATATATACCTATAATTATATTAAGTACATTAGCTTTACTAATAATTGAATTTTATTAATTCATAAGACGTTACATAGAAAAATAACTTTGTTGAAATTTATATACACACATGACCATCAAGATAGCACAACAGATTTGTACCGGAACAGCAGCATACACTATTAAAATTCAAAGGGACTTCACAAGCAGGTCCCGGCGGGTTACAACAACAACAACATTAAAATTCAAACCTTATTAAGATCTAGTGTACAAATGTGCTTTAAGAAATCATCAAGAAATGTTTAGTGGCTCTGGTTCGGAAATAGAGCACATCTTAGGCTTTCAAAACTCTTCTACAAAATCTAAATGAAGATTTAGCGCTGCCTGGTGTCTCGAAAAAGCAATAGATTTACGCGTGGCTTACGGTCGGTCGAATATAATCTAAACTAATCTAATCATATATATATTTACAAAAAATATATTCCATTTATATGGAAACAATTCATTTTTCTTTTATATATTGCATCATAAATAAAAAATAAAAATTAATTAATTAAATAATGAACCCAAAGTACAATCACACTGTCTCATTTAGGCACTTACTCATTTATATAAAAGAGTGAAGGTTCACATTACAATGTGCTTCTTTATGCAGCTAATAAAACTTTTATAAATTTTTGTAAATTTCACTTAATATAATCACACAAAAAATTTAACATATAATTGCCATATTGAATCATTGATATACATTTCATATAGCAATTATATATTCAATTAATAAAAACAATGATTTTATTAAATACTTGCTTTCTCAGTGCCTTTATTTCCAACTCAGCTGTTGTTTATTTACATTTTACTTATAAAACATATGGTACATATTTAAAATTTTAGAAAATTTCCTTATGGGAAATTAATTTTTAAGGATTGTTTTTGACATTTTTCGCTTTAAATGAGCTGATTTATTGATAATGAGCTTATTTATATGAAAGATGTTTTTATGGTAAATCATCTTCATTAGTGGTTATTATAGACAAAACTGTCTAAATGAGATAGTGTGAATGTGCAATAACGTGATCTGACCTACTTATTGTGTTTTAAATAAAAAAATAATGCTTAATTTAAATAGATATATGAATATACCTTTACTGTGTAGGACATACGAAAAATATGTTTATAATATATTTATAATATATTCATGCAATACATTCATTTCAGTAAATTTAGAATTTTATTAATTTATGTATGCACAATTAAGAAATAAAAATTGTTTAAATATACAACATATTACAAATAATTTATGATAATATATTTTATTATGTTGGCTGCAATAATATTTTTATATAGGAGTATTATAACAGAAATTACTTTTTAGTAATCCACAATAATATTCAAAAAAGCTTGGTACATTAAATTAATGAAATATTACTTGAAGAAATAATACATTTTATGGTATATATGTATAAAAAATATATAATATATTATAAAATATTTTTATAATTACAATATTATTTTAATATTTATTTTTATATATCTTAAATCTATTTTTGTGTGATTTATGCATGTAAGAAAATTAAATTTAAGTCTACAAAATGCATTTGCCTATCACATTAGTAATATTAATTTTTTTCAAAAACCTTTTAAAACTTCTTATTCTTTTAGACTGAAACTCTCAACCCATTCGAAACTGATAATGGGCAACTCTTTGCATCCTGTGGCTTAGACAGCAAACTATTAGATGATATCGATTTGGCTAGTTTAACATCATCCACAACTGACGACCCCTTACAGGAGTTGGCCGATCTACGAAGACAGGTTGTTTACCTTCAGGTATTTGCACGTTTATTCATTTCGTTTGCTTTTCTTTTGCGTTTAATGCATTGGCAATCCTAAATATAAAACTTAATAACAGAATCTGATTAAAATACCTATATTTTTTTATATATTAAAGGTTTTGGTTATTAAGCTCCATAGTGTGTAAGAATATTAAAAACTATCGATGTGTAAAGTTGTAAAAGTATTTCGTTACTCAATTTATCTACTATTAATTTACTTTACCTTTGTCACATTTATTTTGAAGAAATATTATTATATATACATTCACAAATTGTATGAATATATGTATAAGAACCGCGTAATTTAAATACTTAATATATTATATTTTATTTTGATTTTCTTCAACTTATGTTACTTTCAAAACAGTTAAAAAAAACCTTTTTCAATGAAACATTTAAATTCAATTGATAAATATACATATATACATTTACTTTATAGACAAACAGTCGTATATAAACATTCATATACAAGTAACACCTTCTCCAAGAACATTACTCATGTCATTATAATTGATATACATATTTTCAAGGTAAACCAAAATGACGTATAAACCCAATATCGCCTTTGATTTCTTTAAGTAATTGTAGCAGAGTATATGGAACCTATTATTTTCATTTTTTTTATGAGATAATTATATAAATTTAATTAGCAATTGGTCTTAAGTTATAAAAAATACAAAAAAAATATGAATATTAATTAAATAGTAAAAATTCAATAGAATTAAATAGATATACTTAGACATACAATTAACAGTATTAGCGCATTTCTATATAATAATCACAATTATATGATTATATGGTATATGCATACAGCTAGACTTGCTAAAATTATTAAGCATTCTGTTCTCGCTATGTGCGGAGTACTTTTAATGCACTTTAAATAAGTGCTTTCTGGGAAGTTACTTCGTATTGTGCACTGAATCTGTTGATTTGAGGAGCATATGCTTGAAGTACAGAAAAGAGTGAAGAGCTAACTTGTAATGATATGATAATGTGGGAAGTGTATTGCTATCAGTTAAGATGGCCATATACCTGATATCTTATTCGAAGTATATTGATATCGTTCGGCTACTGATTTTATACAGTTTAACTCATATAATATATATGAGGTTTAGATACATGACTAAAATTTAATTAGGGTGTATCAGTATTTAGATAAGTTTAGTATCTGCAAAAGATTATTTACAGTAGTATAACGACCATATTAAATCATTACTTGTTTAGTTCATTTTATTAAAGGTATTAAAGTATATTGCCAGATTATACTGAATGTGTTAGTTTAGTTACGATATTACTTGAACTACTCCTAGTATTCTTAGAAGTATTTACAGCTTCTTAAAAAGTTCAACCGGTTTTAACTTATTGTTATAAGACTAGTTTCATTTAGTTTTCATTAATTTAAAATTTTTTCATTTGTTCTTGTCGTTGTAGTAATCTTTGGATGTTTTTATAGCAGGAATCATAAAAGAAATTATTAATTCGAAAATATAGTTTAGTGTTTAATAGGGTAGAGGATAGGTGAAGGTAGAGTAAGAGAAGTAATAGTAGTTTATGATAAGAGGTAACTGAGTGGCCAGTTGGCTGTAAATTTGAACTAGAATGGCATTAGTTTCCATTTCCAAAGTTGGATTCAGAGATCTATTGGGCTGAAATCGTTGTACTCATATGTATTCAGGGATAAGAGCAGATGAGCGACGTTTTAAGTAGTTGAGGTCTTATTAGAGCACACATTATTATTAAAGAATTAATGCGAATTAATTTTATTATAGTTTTTTTAGAGTGCGAGGTGAATAGTTTGTATTTTAAGCTAATCTGTTTAAACTTTCCACTTCGAAAAGTTGGATTCAGAGATCTATAGGGCTGAAATCGTTGTACTCATATGTATTCAGGGATAAGAGCAGATGAGCGACGTTTTAAGTAGCTGAGGTCTTATTAGAGCACACATTATTATTGAAAAATTAATGAGAATAAATTTTATTATAATTGTTTCATTATATATTTTAACTTTTATACCAATAAAATCGAAAATTTTGTATTGTTTTTATTATTAATACAATGAAAAAAAAAAAAAACAATCTTAAATAACAAAAACTTAATCTTAAATAACCCATCGATGGTTTCAGGTCATGTTCATTGATTTAATGATATTTAAGTATTGTTGATTACATATCCATTAAATTAATTTCAATCAGGTATTTATTAGTAATTGTTTAAATGCTTCCCATCAATGAGATTGCTTTTGGAATATATTGTATTAATTTGTAATCCCTTGCATATTAGTATTGTTTTATTTTCTATAAACTAATGTAAAGCAACCTTTCATTAATAGAGGGAAATTGCTTAAGAAAGTCAGAGAGTCAGAGATTATGGTTTTATTATCATCTGATATGATTGTTTTTATATACAATCATATATTATTAAAAAAATAATATTGTTCGGTCACATACAAATTACAAATGCTTATTTATTATATATTTCAAGAGAAAAAGATTACTAAATTTCAAAATATCAGTTTTAATTTGCTTTATGTGACTTAACAGCTTCATAGTATTTGTACCCGTAGATAACTTTGTATAGTTACTATTATAAAGACTTTATGTGGTTCAAATTAAAGCTTCATTCTCTAGCTTCACAAGCTTAGCACGTTCGTGATAACATTTGATTATAAGAGATACATAATCTATTTCATTCATAAATTTAAATTTTTCGTTTGAGGTTCTTATCTCTACATTTTTTATTCAATGTTTCTTGTCGTTATCAAACGTCTTGCGGCAGTCTACATTACGGAAACTTGAACCAAATTTTGATACTATATTATGGGTCTCATATATAATTGAATTATATATTAATTAAAAATTAAATTAAAAATTAAACTAAAATGTATCTAATATAGTATTATAATGTTATCCATGTTAATTTAGTGCTCACAGTTATAGATTCTTTATAAAGTTACTTGTTTGAACGCCAAATTTCGGATTATAAGACCAGACCAGCTACTTTCGATTACTTTTATTAATTATTATTAATTGGGGACTTAAACTAAGGAATCTTAAAATTTACAAATAAATTATAAATATTAGTGGCGATTTTTAAGATTTTTTTATATGCTTTCTCAAACTCTGTACTTGACCTATGTGGTAATGTTCAAGATAGCTTATAAGTAAAAAAAATGGGTTAGAAAAAACTAATTTACTCTCATTCTCCGTCTCTCAAATGTTTTACTGCTCGCATTTATACTAATAAAATGATGTTAACGAAAGTTTTCTTTTTTGAATTACTTATTAAAGTCTCAATCTTTATATATCTTTCAATAGATCTCGATAAAATACGATATTAGTTTAAATATTGTGTGTGTTGATACTTCTAAACTATTTTTATATTTAGATAGTATATGCGAAGTAGAGTAGATTTAAAGATAATTATTTGGTTTTGATACAGATGTCTACTAGTTTCATTTTGTATACAAAAAAACAAACTATCAACAATTATCATAGTATATTATTATCATAAAAAACATTATTAATTATTATTACATAAAAAAAATATGAAAGAAGTAATTGATAGGTTTATAACACTTGCTAAGGTATAAGTATGTTTGATTTCTAAATATCCATGAAGTGAAGAACTGCATTACCGTCCCTAGTATATTGCATATAGAAGTATATTATTATCTTAAATAAAATCACAATGACACCAAGTTATTATTATAGTTATAATTCCAAAAACCTGACATTAGTTCGTTCTAATTACCTACTAAATATATTATCCATTAATACAAAACCTTTATTATATTTTTGTTTAAGATATTATAATATATTGAACATATTTTTACAAACATTTAATTTACAAAATATTTTATCTCCATACATTATTTACTAAAATAGTGGGTTTTAGTTGTAAAAATACATAAAAAAAAATTTTTTTCTGCAAAAAAAAAAGAAGACTACAGAAACCCACATTTGTGCAATTCCATTAGTTATAGTTTACGGTTTTATATATACAAGACCGAGTATCTCTTTTAATGCTTTTTTATATGTAGTGTTGTTTTATTTGTAAAAGGCATTCAAATATATTTCTTTCAAAAATTGTAATTAAATTATTTTATATAGTTTTTTGCCTATTTAGTAAATGGAAAACCTTTAGCGCATGTACATAAAAGTAACATGTATAATACAGATACATAATAAGATTTTATGTTATTAAAACACAGACAGCACTATTTTTATATATACATATATATATTGTTCATAGTATGTAATTTAATATTAATTTTAGTTAAATTTTAATTGATTGTTAGTGTATATATTATTAAGATTGGAGTGGTAAAATTTTTTGCAAAATTTATAACTGATTGTTATGGTTCTAAGAAGACATGCGTCTTTTTAGAATTTGTATTTTTAAGATAAAATTAAATATATTGAAATTATAGTACAATTCTTAAAAATTTCTATATACAAAGATTATTATAATGCGCATTGAGCATCGTGAGCGACTGGGATGATATAAAATTTGAAAGTTATATATTAACCGTATAACAACCATATATCAATCGTACTCTGTGAACGTTAGCTTCTAAATGACCCAAGGTCTTTGGTTATCTGAATTTATCGACTATTTATATGTCTTATTTTACACATGTAAGCGCTCTAAGCACTCTCATATTCTCCGTTTCTAATGTTAAAAGTTATTTAATTCACATATATATGTGAATGACGATTTGTTGTTTCAAATTGAACGGCGATCGAAAGGTCAAATTTCAAAATTTTAGTGGATATTTCAATGGTACGACATAGCACATCCATAGGCAAGTTATCCTTACTTATGTAGTCAAATTGCTCATTTGTATGCCTTACGTTAGAAAATATTACTGTAAATGCAATATAGGGTAATACCATATCTTACTAATTTTAGTATGAATTTTTTCATAGGACTCATAGTTAACACTCCTTTGCTGCCTTACAAAAGATACAATATCTCAATTATACTCAAAATGCATTTTTTTTATATTAACTAAAACAAAATAAAATTCTGCACGTATTTTCATGATTGCTAAATAAATAAAACGTGTTTGTATCTCATTCATTTATAACTCAATTAACTTAAATAAAATTATAAAGATAATTATACTTAAATTATTTATTATTAACATTTTATGGCTTTTTTGCCTGACATACTTTTTTCTTAGATAAAATGCAGTTTCTTTTTGCAAAGCTTTTTACCACTGTAATTACTAGAGATTAAAAAAAAAATATCAAAATAATATTGCAAAAATAAAATTATAATTAATTTTATTCAGTTTTTTTTGAGACTAATTATATTTAGTTTTATTTTTTACTGTTGTAATTATTGTTAATTATTATAAAATTAATAGCCACTACAATTTACTTATGGAATTTAATTTTATCTCTTTTTATTATTTTTATTTTTATTTTAAATTTTTTGTTTTTATTTATTTCTTAAAATGAACTATAAAAAATTAGGGTCAAGTTGATGATCGTGATCGGACGATACGTTTGCAAAGAAATCTCATTGAAAAATTAGAGGCTGAAAAAGCGGCAGGTCCAAATGCTAAAACTGATATTACTAAAGAGTGCATAAATACAGCAACACAAACTGAACGGGTAAGCAAAAATTACCTTTAATAATTTTTTTAAATCAATTCAGATGCATTTAATTTTTTTCCCTTCAAATTTAAAATTCAGACAAGACCACTGGCCATTGGAACGGAGAATTTGTCAAGGTGAGTTTCAATTTATTAAAAAATAAATTTACAAATTATGTATATAAATTTAATATTTGATTTAAATATTTTTATTTTAATATATTTTATTTATATATTTTTTTATTTGCTTTTATTTTCTTATAGTGCTTTTGTTTATGAAACTCTATTACCGGCATTTCTTGACAATAAAACACTTCAGCCACACACTTTGCATACAAGCCAAAATACTAGAAAATCGCAATATTTTTGCATACTCCGCAAAACACTTAATACATCATTTAGAGCCATTAGCAATGTATCTACTACGTCTAAATACATTTTTGTTGTGTTGTTCCGAGCAATTTCACCCAAATTGCAACGCCTTGTTGCATTTTGTTTCACGCGCAGTTGGCCATCGTTGCAGCAATTGCTGCAGCATGCAAATTTCGTCGGTCAAAGTATGACGAATTGTCGACAATTCTCACGTAATATTTTGACACAAATTTCTCATAGATTTAGCAACAGTCTAATAACTTTTTATAATAATTTGTTCACCATACAAATGAGTTTTATAGCGAATCGATTAACCGCTCAGTTCTTTGGCATGTTCCACTTCTAAAACAGAAATTTGCCATAATGATTTTTTCAATGATTTTTGTTTTCATTTTTGTCAAAAAGAATAAGCGATTTTGCAACATTCACAGCAATTAAATATTTTATTTAAAATATAAAAAATCGCTTACCCTAATTGCAATGCTATGTGGCATTTTGACTCACGCTAACTTATTCACTTTTTATTTCTTCACTTTACTTTTTTACTCGATTCACCACTACAACTCTCGCCCAGTCATCGGGTTTCCGCCTGACAGAACAGAATTTTCCAGGATCCATTGCTACTTGTTTACCTTCAGTAGTCTTACACAACAAGTGCGATTAGTGCTCTCCCAATTTAAATACTCCACCGAAAAGACTTCATCCATTATGTCTTTTTATTCTATCTCCTTTTTCCTTAAAGCAAACTCCTTTTTCGATAAAGCATCGTTATCCATTCTCACACCAAAAGTAAGCCAGCAATGACTGAATTTTTGAACTAAAGATCAAAGTAGTTTTTGTTACTTAATTACCTGCCCTTTCGGTTATGATATATTATATCTTATTTATCCTCCATATTCAAATAAATGGTATGGTTTATAACAATATTACAGATAAGTATTCATATCACCTGTGCTATATCTGTATATTATGATTAGTATAACTATAAAGCTGTAATGATATTTAGATCTGAAGAAACTACTTCTCATAACAGTGAGAAGGATAACTATTCATCTGATCTGCTTATCTTTCCATACATTCCTTGTGTTTATAACGTAAAGCCTCCACTTTTTTGGTATTCTAAAAAAGTTGAAACACCCTGGTCTAATGTGTCTTCTGTAGAGCATTACAATTTGGTTAAAGGTATAGCATTATTCCGATGCATAAATTTGTTTCTCATTTATAATTTTATGCTATTCACTTAAGAACTACCATTCTTAGGTCAAGAACACAAATTTTTCTGAAAAACTTCCATATGCAAAGCATTATCCAGTATCCAGCAGTATCTATATAGATTTCCCACAATTTTTCGACAATATAAAACTTGTTTATTGATTCCGTTTATCTTGATAGAACTTTAAAGTTGTCTTTAAATCTGGCTCTTCTTTTTTCTTTTCTTTCTTTTCCACAAGCCTCTCAATTCGATTTTAACGTAAATTTCTTTTTTATTCAGTTCCTTGATCCTGACAGATCTTTAAATTCAACTTCAATCTAGATTCTTATCTTCTAGTCATCTATGGTATATCTAGATGACTAGATATTGGGATCTAGATATCTCCTAGAATATCCAGAACAATCTTTTAGATTTTTATCTTGACATAGCTATAGCTGTCAGTTTTCTATTAACATTCACATATTTTTTTCCGGGGTCTGTTTTTATAAGGATTTTAAATTTAGGTTAAACACAGATATGATATTAGACTTTAAAATCTTTTATGAGTTTCTTTTTTTTATTTTTTTCCGTGCCTTATTCTTAATTAAACCGCAAAAAATTTAATTTATTTATTTTCGCACCTCATTTTTGTTTATATTATGCGTTAATTAATATAAATATATTCAGTTATTATTTTTTTAAATATATATATATTAAAAACTAATATTTCTAATATTTCATGCTGCTTCAAAAATGGTTTTCGGCCGCTAATAATTAAATACTTCATATTCAATACTACATAACTTATAACTTAACCTTACAAACAATGCACTTACACTACACTAACTCACTATATATATATACTTATAATAATACTTCAAAACTTAAAAACTATACTTGGTTGTCATAGACTACAATTCGGTGATCAACAGGTACTATTTTGTGATCTTATCTTGGCTGTTATTTTATTATGTGCAATTAATATTATATGTGTTTTACATTTAAGTTATTCTTGTATCGATAACTGCTCCTCTTGTCTATAAGACTATTATCTAAAATTTATAAACTAATAAATATTATGTATAAATAATTCCTTAAAAATATATGTATGGATTAAGAAAATAATGTAAATATTTGATTCGAAAGAGTTAAGATAAAGTGATTGAAAAAATCGTTGTGATAAAAGAAAAGGTAATAACACAGTTAATAGATCTATATAGAGCATAAGTAATGCACAATATTTTTGATATTAAATTAAGTACATTTAAAAATAAATTATAAAATTACTAAGTCGATAATTATAAATTTACTGAAGAAGTCATTTTTCAATGACTTTTTCAATATATTTTCAATAAATTAACTAAAATTTTTGTTATTGTTTCTTCATTACTTTTCGAACCCTTCTAATTGTTTTTTTATTCTATTTTAAACTAAAAACAATTCATAGCTTTAAAAATATATTGTAATATAAATATTCAAGACATTAAATGAAGTTTTAAATTACATAAATGCAATTTTTTAATATATTTTTTTAAAATTACAAATTTATAAATAATATATGAATCTAATTAAATTTCCAAACGAGTTATTGGATTCATTATTTAAGGCACAAATATATTTACTCTTAATAATAGATTTAAATAATTTTTATTAATATAAATTAAGCTGAAATGCTACAATTTTTAGATTAAAGGGTTATATTTAAATAAATATAAATCAGAAAGTTTTTCGATTTAAAATCTTACTAGATATATAAAAAGTAATGCTGAGTCCCTGTTATTATTTTATATGGAACTCGTACTCGTTTATTGGTTTCAGCTGACAATACAACCTAGTATACATAATTTAAATAAAAGATATAGAAATGCCTTATTTTTTCCTATTAAGAATTTTTAATTAAGTTAGCTGGCGTATTGATAACAATCTATATATCCAGCCATATCTATTTCCAATCCGATTGTACAATGTACAAACAATACAACACTTTGATATATACATATATAACACATATATAGTTTGTATATGTAATAGTAATTTACACATAAGATACCACAACATGGTATGTCATAGCCAGGGAAGAGGAGGAAAAAATGGGTATGTAGTGAGTAAGAAGTACTCGAATTATTATATTAGAAGAATGCCGACAGAAAATGTACTTAGAATAAAATCCAAAAGGAGTTAATATAATCGTAAAAAAAAACTGACTGTAACCAGCTAATGTTATCATGGGTATTTTAGGGTGATCAAAGAAAATTCTTACTCTTACCTTGATTTTTGACTTTAGTGAGATCTTTTCCGCTTTGCTTACGAATAGATGATATTCGCTAGTTATATTATTATTCAGTTTTTGAATGGTATTCGCTAGTTAAATGGGTGTTTCTAAATCGTTTGCATAAATCCAAATCTCCTCACCTGTCATTATCAATTTCATGTTATCCTAATGGTAAAGGCAAACATAATTCGACAGCTTTAAACGTGTAACTATTTTTCATAAAAATTAATTTTTTTTGGACTAAGTGAGACTTATTCTTTTCGGGCATAAAACGTCTTTAAAAATAGACTGGACTGATACAAATGATTTCTTACAATCAACCAACTTTGTTTTAAGTGACAGATTTGTGATTTCCTTGACATGTTGTTTATTCGTTGAAGTTGATAATCCTCCAGTGCGATTTTTGTCTTCAATGCTTTCTTTAAATTGCTTATCCTAAGTCTATATATTGTTTGTGAGATAGCGTCATCAATAAAGCTCTTCTATAGTATTTTTAACGTCTCTCTGCAGGAATTTCGTTATTGAAACCAAATTCAATGCCAGGATGAACTGCATTTAAACAAAGCCCTTTATGGCGCTTAAAATGCGTGATCGTTTTAATATTTCATTAAGAGGTTACAGAGAATGTCTTGCCACTCCTTTATTGTGATAGTGCAATGCTGCAGATTTTGTCTATGTATATGTTTTACTAGTAACAGATGAATAGTATAGAATCAGTCCTCTGAATTAAAAGATTATTCCAAGGAAATTATTTCAAATAATTAAAAAATTAGTCTGTTTAAATGTAAATTAACTTAAGTAATTGCAAAGAGAAGAATTATTTTTGTATAAACTTTCGAATCAAATATATCGCCAACTTTGTTGTTGTCTTTATTATTCATATTTTAACCAAAATATTTATATATATTATAAGTAAATAGTCTTAAGTCCCCTGAAGCACAATTTGTCGTTTTAAATCTCTTTCAAATTCCTTTAATTGCATGCGGCAATTAATAGATAATTAAGGTAACTGCTCAGTTAAGTTTAGTAAATTGTTAAGATACATAAAAACAGAATTTTATAAAACTTGAAAATGAAAAATTTACTTTATATAAAAATATTCAATAATATTTAAACTATGAAAAGCTCCTAATTGATATTTCTCAGCTTGCATGAAATTAACACTAAATAAAATGCACTTTTATGCCGCTTATTACAAAATAATTTAAGTTGCTTATTAATTATAAATTAAAAACTATATATTAACTTTTATTTTTGTTTTAATATTTTGCACAGAAGTAAGCCCGAGTACCACAGTTATACAACGCATTTTCCAGCTATTTGCAATGATTCGACCACAGTAATTCAACATCAACAGCAGTATCCAGGTAATAGCAATGCTTTGAACCAAACACGTCGCCACACTATCATTTCCACAACGCTCACAAATTACAACCATCAGCAAATGGGCTGTCAAGCACCGAGACGTGCCTCGATTGCGTGGGAACAGCAACAACCAGAGGAACAATCAGCTCAGACACCTAACTTAATACCCAAAACGTACAAGCCCGTTAGAATAACACTGATTGGTGAGCCACTTAAGCAGTGGAATGGCCTAAACAGCAGCCTCAATGGTGAAGGCAAATACATGAAAAATATAAATGGCTCACATGCTGAGCTGGAAAATAAAAAGAATTTACTGAATGGCTCTAAAGAATTTGTGAATGGTAACAGCACTAATAACATCAATAGTAGTAAGTGCAATAGCAACAACAACAAAATCTCAATTGACAGCCCATTTAATGGCACAAGTAGCTGCAAACAGAATGGCTATCACAACAGCAGTGCAGTTATTGCAGGCAATGGTTTGAAGCAAACAACTCTGCAAATGGAAAATATCGTCAACAATACGCAGCAACACTATCATCATCATCAGCAGCAACAGCAGCAGCTGCAACAACAAAAACAACAACAAATAAATGGCAATTTATATCCAACAGTTACTATAGTCTGATGTAGGCTTTTCTTATTGTATTTCTTTTTTACTATCTTTAACATTTTGCTTTTTAAACTGTTTATATTATAAATAAAATATTTCCCACTCATTTGGGGCAACATTTGTATTCCTTTTAAGATACACGCACATCTATTTTTCGTAAATCAATACACACATTTTTTATAAATTTTTCTTGCTTTATAGTAAAATAATATAAAAAAGATCTAGAGTTTAGGCAGACAGAAAATATAAAAACAAAATATATTCTCATACTACAGAAAAGTATTATTTATAAGCTTAAAAGGGGCTTAACTTTTAAAAAACAAACTTAACATTTATTTATATGCAATAATTTAAATATAAATAATACTGAGTATATATTTATGAACAATGATTATATATATTTAAATAAAGAAAGAATCATTTAAAATAAGATTATATACTACAATATATTATAGATTTAGTAAACATGCATATATCAATATTATTATATATATTATATATTATATTATATGTGTTAGTTGAGTTTTAGCTGATAAACATACATTAGAATTTATTTAAATTAATTTTAATTAGTAAAATTTCATTGACAAACTATTAAGTTTATAATTTTACGTTGTTATATCTGTTAAAATAAAATATATGTACTTAAGTTAGTTAAAAAAAATAATAATTATGAATTGATGTAATTGTTTATCTATTAAGTTTAATTAATAACTTAATTAAAATTATTATACTATATTCCAAGTATACTTAATTAATAATTTGATTAATTTTCATGTCAACTATCTTTATTGCTTCATGCAAAGAAGACATCAATTAATTAATATTTGAAATATAAACAATATATATATATAAATACAATTATATACATATATATATATATATATTACATATAAATCAAAGATCTTTTTTTTTTATATAAGCGCAGAATTCAATTCAGAAAACTTTAAGTATATTTAAAACAGCTTGAAAGTCAACATACTAAAGCCGAAGTACCCGGAATAGTTATGAAGATCTTGATTATTTTATAGAGTATAGGATAGATAACATTTCTGAGAACCTAATCCTTAATAATGCTCTATGGAGAGATCAGAAGTTGTTTTAACTAGTGAAATACCGACATAAACTAAATAAAATATACCAATTAAGATAGACTGATTACGATGTAGCATTATATAAATTTAATAATTTTTTTTAATAACTAAATGGATATCAATTTTTAATAATATTTCCCCGAAAGAAAAATTTAATTTTAATTATTTATTTATTTTAATTAGTTTTGGATGTTTATTAATATATATTTAATTAATTAATTATTTAATTAATTAAGTTTTTTTATTTGGTATTTTCTTATATTTTTTTTATGGTATTTACTTTTTTTATTTTATTTATTTTATTTATATATATTTTTTTTTTTTTTATTTTATAATTTTTATTAATATCACTATCTTACCATAATATGACAAATATTTATTGTTTCGACCATTCGACGTTTTCAACGGTCGGTCCATTGCCTATGTTTGCGAAGTAAAGTGAGCAACATAAAATCAAATCTAACAACTATTTTCTGTGCTGGCTGCAATCATTCATAAACCAGGAAGGAGTCAATGACATACAGCTTCCAATTATATTTTTTGTTTTGATATCAAGTTTAGTTGTAAACATGTTCTTGAAAAGTGATATATGTATGTCAATAGATTATTCAAAAGAATTCATCAGAAGATGGTAATAAACTCCCAAACTTACCGGTAATACTGTAGTAGTTCTTATATCCATTCTAACGGAACAGTTACAACCTGATCTTGGCATCTTATATTGATTTAAAACATGATTGGCAATTAAGTTTTGGTGAGAGTTTAAATGTAATATATTCCAGAAAATAACGAAACGATGGATTTGATTTCTGTTATTTCAAAATCTTTTGAACCATATCTCACTATTCAATTTTCTATTAAAGTTTCACTGCAATTAAGTTCTGAAATGAATCCTCCATTTACAGGTAAAATAGTAGTTGTATTTGAAATGCTATTCATTATTACCGCAAAATGTGTGATCATCTTCTACTATTTCACAATTACTTACAGGAGAAGCTACAATAAATTTTTGGATCATTACTTTAGTTAAACTTTGATTGACTTTGGACCCCGAGGGATATTTGTCGTAAAATTGAAAAAATATTTATATTGGCATAAATAATTTGTGATTATAAAATAAATATCAGCATTTAAAGTTATCTTTCCAAAATAACACTTTTTGGTTGAGTTAACAAATTGTATTGTACCAAAGTATTGTAAAAACTCTCTAATGGAAATGTAATGTGATGAAAACCAACGCAATTTTTTTATACGGTGAGGTGCCGTATACGGTGAGAATTCTTTGAGTAAAAATTTGTGGAACTCATACAAAAACCATTTTTTCTTCGAAATAAAGCGTTTTCTTTAGATGTAATTGTAAATCGGTCTGTTTCAACCGACGGGCACATTTGTGTCACAGCAGTATGGTCCTGCCTTCACAGTCCCTTCATTACTTCAAAACATATAATGCATCAGATATGCTTTAAAATAAGTAGTTAGAAGTCCATTTTTAAATTATAATATTAAATATGGAAAATCAAACAAACAATATACATAAAGATTGTCGAAACAGAAAAATGGTATTTCTGGAGTAACCTGAAAGCAGGAAAAATGAAAGGAGCTTTTAAATATCCAAATGCATTTTATGAAACCCTTCTACAATTCGAAAGTGTGTAGTTATAATTTTTTTTAACTGGTACCATATCGACATTGTATGGATATGGTTTCATTAAAATTTAATTTAGCCTAAATGTCAAATCTGCCATATTGCATATGTTTCTGTTATTTTCCCTTAATAAGTACCAAGACTATCTAACATCTTTTTCAATTTTTGTTAGATGTTTCATATATAACATATGTGTATGAATTATCATTGATAACAATTGTCATCGGAATATTGTGTGCAAGATTATCTCTTACAAGTACCGAAAAACAACTTGCAGACTGGACGGAATTAAAAACACAAGACGATGCAGTGCTCTTTCGCACTATAGCGGGTAAGTCAAATAACAAGAACAGAAATGATTCACATTTTGGAAAAATATTCAAGCAAATCAAAATTGCAGATATTTCTGCGCTTTTGAAACTTGATGTAGATGAATTAAGTGTTGCTGATACTGGTTTGAAGGGATTAGATACTTTGAAGTATCTAAATTTAACCGGTGACGAACTAACTGAGTTGAGATTAAATAACGGAAACTTAGAAAATTTAGATGCAAGTCACAATTTTTTAAAGAAATTAACACGCACCCAATTGGAGAATCTGACGAATTTAACATATGCAAATTTCTCATTTAATCAAATCAGAGAAATAGAGGAAAATGCATTTAAACCTTTAAAGAAGTTGCAATATCTTAATCTGAATAATAATGAATTGAAGAGAGATGTGATTGGCACTTGCGATAAGCTGAAGTATCTATCAATGAGCGATAATCTAATTGAAATTGTAATTTTCAGTGAATTTCTTTAATTCTAAACGAAACCAATCAATTTTGCTTAACATTTCAGCTTTCTTCGAGTAACTATCGCGGCATGACGGCAATGGAGCACCTCGTAATAACCGAAAACCCATTGCGTGAAATTGAAAATCGTGCTTTCGCTTATATGCCACGCTTACGCATTCTAAATATATCAGAAAATAATTTAGAACAAATTTCGCCTATGGTTTTCTTTGGCATGAAACGTGTACCACTACAACAGCTTGACGTAAGCTTCAATAATCTGTTGAGTCTAACATCCAACCAATTTGAGCACATACCAAAATTGCAAATCTTGAATATATCCGACAATCGCTTAAAGTCTTTGGAAACGACAACCTTCGCAGGACTAACATCACTGCGTAAACTTTTTCTTCACAACAATGACATCAAAAATATCAAAGCAAATACTTTCGCTAATTTAGTGTCACTTGATACTTTGGACCTGTCCAGAAATAATATCGAAACAATTGAGGCAGATGCCTTTGGAGCTGTTATGTTGCCAAGACTGCGTGAACTGCAACTAAAGGCGAATAATTTAAAACAGTTAGATCCGTTGACATTTTCATCCTTACCACATCTGGAATATTTGTCTTTAGCTTATAATGAACTCACTGCTTTGGATGTGCGCATGTTCGCACCCATGCGTCGTCTACAGAAATTGCATTTGGGACACAACCAACTGGAAGAAATTGATGCATCGGTTTTGGAAAGCTGGACAAAATTATCGGAAATGCTTATAGATAACAATAAATTAACATTTCTTCCAGAAATAAATGGCATCTTTCCGAATTTACGTAAAGTCTCAATTGAAGGTAATCCCTGGCAGTGTCCATGCTATGATGAGCTGATTAAAATATTAAATGAAAATAACATCGAATATGTGCGCATGACAAGTCCATTTTACAAAGGCGAGAAACCATTTTGCTTTGTTACTCCTGTAGAGTACTGCGTGCAGGATATTAAAGCTGTGCGAGCTCATGGCATACCAGAAGGGTTTGAGGTGGCCTCTGATGACTCCAATAATGTAAATGACGACTAAGTAATGAAATTTGTAAATTTTATATTAAAAATAAAGACTGGTTTTTAGGGAGTGAGAGTACACGTTTGGATAAAATTAATTTGGAGATGTGGAAAAGACACGATTGAGTCAAGGTGGTATATGTTGCAAAAGTTATTTTGTTATCATCTCTTTTCGAATAAGGTCATATGATGTTTTTGTTGTTGCGGTAATTCGTATGGATCTTTTGCAAAATCCTGCTGGGGGAGTGGTGAACGCCGAGTGGCTTCGAACGTAAACCCGGCCGGCCTTGCAGCAAATCATTTTCTTTAATGTTTAATTATGATGTTTGAGAATACCTCTTTTATTCAGAAGATAGTTATCATTATGGGCTAGATAACGAATGTACCTCTTGTGGGAAAATAAATTTTTAATAATAAAATATATACTAGAATAAATACTAATATTAGGTATGTATTAATAAAATTTAAAATTAATGCTCTAATATGGAAATTATAAGAATATTAAGGTGAACGAATAACGCAACACATTTGTGCATTATACAAGCACCAGTTTATATAGATCTTTAGTTCTATATAAATACCATAAGTACCTACTTAATAAGTCACTGATTGTATAGGTACAGATATTTAATATAAATTGTAGATAAGGCGTATATTGTGATGCCTTTTCTAGGTGAAGTGGATGAAATCGAAATTTGTTTGCTATAGAATCACTATTTTTCTTTCAAACTAAACATTTGATGCCTTGGATTACTATCTAGTGTGACTTATATTATATATATATAGATTATGTACTATATTTACCCATGTAGATGGACCACGTAATGGATAACTTTTCAGAGTATAGATTATCTATTTTTAATATAAAGTTCTTATATTACTTGATCTTGAGATAAATCTTAAATTGAGAGATTTTAAATGTTAATATTACGCTGTTGAGGTAATGAAATAAATCGTAATACATAGTTTACGATTTATAATACATTGTTTTAACTGATCGTGAAATACTATGTAGCAGAAAAGATGGACTGATATTAGTCTGGGGATCAGACGAAGAATTATCATTGCTAATAGATGCTACTATGGGTTCAGTAGGTAATTGATATGTAGAGCTCTTTCTCTACAAACAAAACTTAAGCTCCATAGGTCGCATATCTTTCCGGTGCTTCTGTATGGCGCAAAAGCATAGACATTATCATAGAATGATGAAGCAGCATTGACTGTTTTGAGAGAAATGTTCTTCGTGTATCTTTGGACCTTTACGAGTTTGTAATGACTGCCGCATGCGAATGAACTCGAGCTGTATGAGCTCTATCGCGGAAATTGTATAAATCAGCGAATTAACATTCAGCGACTTCGGTGTCGTGAGAATGGGTGAAGATGTTCCAGTGAAAATAATATTTAAAGCAGTAGTTGGAGGAAGAAAGCGTAAAATCAGACCGTAGCATCGGTGAAGTGATCGAATTCGGGGAGTACTAATCGGACTTGAACGTATGAGTCTAAAGAAGGCGCGTACGCAGCAGACTCGCCTGCAGAGATATACTGCGTCAGGTCGAAACTCGGTAACGGGTTGTTATGTCCAAATAAGGCCTAAAAGTATGCTGATGTATATAACCGCTCTTTAACGCCTGGACTGGCTTATTGCTTATCACTTCATCAGGGTAAGCAATAATTGACCTCAGTTCTGCATACCTCTCCGAGGAGTCTGTAACCATTCTGAGATTTGATAACGCGGTATTGGTAAGTCTGTCAGTTTACGTAAATAATTTCATTTAAGTGCTACAGAATTTAAGTGAGGTAAATAATAAACAAAAACTTAAGTTTAATAATTCAAACATTTCAGTACATTTTTTACTTTTTTATATATTTGAGATTTTTTATAAATAAAATTTTTTAAATTATTGTTTTAGCGCCAAAATCAATTACACAAATCAAAACAAAATTTTGTGAACAAAAACAGCTGACATGTATGATGCGTTGCCAGTTATTTTCACATGTGATCCGTATCGTTTCAGCAAAGAAGATCCAGATCAATATGTGCTGAAATACGGCTATTGTAATGATTTTTTGTGGAAGCTATAGTCTGCTAAAGAGGTCAGATGGGACCTCTATACTTACTATAGAATCACCATATTTGTTGCAAGTTTTTGCAATTTTAAGTAGTTCAGTGATTGTTAAGCGAACCATATTACAAAATGGCAAACTTTAAATTAAACGCATAATGACTTGGATGGTAGGCATGCTGACACAGTGCTACCAAATCAGGCCAACAAAATGGATAATTTCATATGAATATTTTTATTTCTATATAATGTGTGTCGATATAAATTAAGTTATAAGATTTTAAAAAATAAATATATGTAAATGTTGGGATTTATATTTAAAAACATTCGAACAATATATTTTAACTTGCTGCTTTTATATTTATTTAACTACGCCTGTAAAATGCATTATCTTAATAAACACAAAACTTTTAAGAGCAGTTTGAACTAATTCAAAAGTATTGAATCAAAAGATAAGACACTAATTTGATTAAAGCGTAAGTATATTTAAAGCAAACATCTGGCAGCACTAAACCTCTCTCTAAGTCGAACTATCAGATTCGAAAGAAAATGAATGAGCACATCAAGTTCAGTAGGTTGCGGTTGTTTGTTGATGGTGGGTTGTGATTAAATTTTATTAATGCGTCGATTTGAAAGCATGTATGATGGCTAAGCTGGAATTGATAACAATTGTCATCGGAATATTGTGTACAAGATTAACTCTTACAAGTACCGAGAAGTGTTCAACGCATGCCAATGAAAATGACACCAAAAGAGTGATATGCAAAGATGTGGAAGATATAGAAGACTTGCAAAAAGAATTTGCAGACTGGACTGAGTTAAAAATACAAAACGAAGCAGTGCGCAGTCTTACTATAGCAGGTTAGTTGAATAACAAAAACATGATTCACATTTTGGGAAAATACTCAAGTAAATCGAAATTGCAGACGTTGCCGCAGACAGCGTCGTTAAACTTGATCTGTCATATGTTGGTGAATTAACTATTGCTGATACTGGTTTGAGGGGACTAACTGCTTTGAAGTATCTAAACATAACCGGCGATGAGCTAACTGAGTTGAAATTAAATAACGGAAATTTAGAAAATTTAGATGCAAGTCACAATTACTTAGAGAAAATAACGCGCACCCAATTGGAGAATCTGACAAATTTAAAATATGCAAACTTCTCATTCAATCAAATTAGAGAAATAGAGGATAATTCATTTGAATCTCTAAAGAAGTTGCAATATCTTAATCTGAATAACAATGAATTGAAGAGAGATGTAATCGGCACCTGCGTTAAGTTGAAGTACCTAACAATGAGCGATAATCTAATTGAAATTGTAATTTTCAGTGAATTTCTTTAATTTTAAACGAAACCAATCAATTTTGCTTTAACATTTCAGCTTTCGTCGAGTAACTATCGCGGCATGACTGCAATGGAGCACCTCGTAATAACCTCAAATCCATTGCGTAAGATGGAAGATCGTGCATTTGATCATATGACACGCTTACGCATTCTAAATATATCAGCAAATAGTTTAGAACAAATTTCGCCTATGGTTTTCTTTGGCATGAAACGTGTACCACTACAACAGCTTGACTTAAGCTTCAATAATCTGTTGAGTCTGACAGCCAACCAATTTGAGCACATACCAAAATTGCAAATCTTAAATATATCCGACAATCGCTTAAAGTCTTTGGAAACGACAACTTTTGCAGGACTAACATCACTGCGTAAACTTTTTCTTCACAACAATGACATTAAAGATATTAAAGCGAATACTTTCGCTAATTTAGTTTCACTTGATACCTTGGACCTATCCAGTAATAATATCGAAAGTATTGAGGCGAATGTCTTTGGTGCTGTTATGTTGGCAAGACTGCGTAAGCTACAGCTAAAGGCGAATAATTTAAAACAGTTAGATCCTTTGACATTTTCATCCTTACCATATCTGGAATATTTGTCTTTAGCTTATAATGAACTTACTACTTTGGATGTGCGCATGTTCGCACCCATGCGTCGTCTACAGAAATTGCATTTGGGACATAATCAACTGGAAGAAATTGATGCATCGGTTTTGGAAAGCTGGACAAATTTATCGGAAATGCTTATAGATAACAATAAATTAACATTTCTTCCAGAAATAAATGGCATCTTTCCGAATTTACGTAAGGTCTCAATTGAAGGTAATCCCTGGCAGTGTCCATGCTATGATGAGCTGATTAAAATATTAAATGAAAATAACATCGAATATGTGCGCATGACAAGTCCATTTTACAAAGGCGAGAAACCGTTTTGCTTTGTTACTCCTGTAGAGTACTGCGTGCAGGATATCAAAGCTGTGCGAGCTCATGGCATACCAGAAGGGTTTGAGGTGGCCTCTGATGACTCCAGTAATGTAAATGACGACTAACTAATGAAATTTATAAATTTTATATTAAAAATAAAGACTGATTTTTGGACAGTGAAAAAAAACATTTGGATGAAATCAATTTCTCACTAAAATATATTGTTACGAATATTTTCATTTGAAAGTATACAAAAGTTATTTTTATATAGTGTTTTTCAGTGTATCATGTGAATCACATCGTTAAGTGAAGGGTCTATCCCTAAATGCCCTACTTTTTTTCGTCGGGTTTTTAATGGTCTAGTAATAATTCAATTTACCATTTATGGTAGTAATTTAGTAATTATTTAGGGTTAGATAAGGAGCATATGTCTAATAGGGGAACAATTTTACAGTGTAATGGTATGTACTGTTATAAATACTTAAATAAAATGTGTACGAAAAGTTTAATATTAAATAATTAATTGAAAATTAAAAAAAAAATATTTATGTAAACGAAGACTAAAACACAATTGTGCATTACACAAGCACTAGTTTAAATTTTGCATAGTTCCTTAGTTCTATATATGGATCATAAGTACTTGCAAAATAAATGACTTTCGTTGTATCAGCTATTGATTATTAATATAAGTTTTTCTTTGGGGGTCTTTTGTGTTTTATTTCTAGATGAAGTTGTTAATATAAAGTATTATATTATAATATAACTGTAACATAATTATAATTTGTTATAATTAAATATTACTTGACAAAGATAAACAATAAATGGGTATAGTTTTTTCTTGGTGGTCTTTGCTAGTTGCATTTACTATATGTGGTAAAGATTAACCTAGAATTAAATTTACATGCTATGACATTATTAATTTTATTGTAGTAGTAGTTACTCAGTAGGAAAGCTTTAATATATTCATGAAATTACTATTAATATTCAAACCTAGCAAAGAGGCATGAATATGCTTATTACAAACATTAATTTTTCACTTCTATATATTCTGTAGTTCATATAGTAAACGTTGAGATTTTGGTTAAGTTTTTATATTAGTGACAATTCGTAATTTTCAACAATTTGTGAATAGATCAATAGACATACATAGAGATCTTATGATTGCTTCAGTGAAAAAATATATCAGAGACAGAGCTCTAAAATTATTCATTAAAGTTGATACGCTACTTAACCCCGCCCTAACAATCCTCAAGTCCATTTCTGGATTCCCAATAAGATATGCTAATTTAAGGTCCGTCATCAACTAAAAGACAAATAAATGATATGATTTCTTTGCCTAGTTAAAGCCTAGTGTGGGGTAGTGATAAGCCCTCCAGCCATTATAGAGTAAAAGTGCGTAATAGTACTAACTCAAGAACAAGAAGAATAGATACTTGAGTATGTGAATGTGAAGAATAAATTAATTTTTTTAAAATACTTCTAATGACAATATCGTCCTGAAATTTTTAAATTTTATGTAGAATTTTATTACTAATCGAAACCAAAAATATTATATACGAATATTTGTAGTATATTCTTTCAAAATTCATTCAATGGAAATATAGTATGCATGTGTTTGGTGTGTTTTGCTGAAGAAAAAAAAAAAATAAAAATTTCAAAATAGAGCCTTCCTAAACATTTTTATTTCTCAGTAAAATTTAAAACTAAATCTTTATAAAATATGAAAAATAAAAATTCTGGGGACACATTTGGAAAAAAAGTTTTTATTGAAATTTAACGGTTAATATCAGTACTTAAATATGAACAATCTTAATTGTTTAAACAATTTTCTATAGTTCAATCAATTATCTTTAAAACGCAACAAATTTCAAGTTTCTATCCTGAGATATGGATATTTGAAAATGTGTCTACAAAGCCATTTCTCAAAACCTTATGGGTTCATATCTCCTAGTAAAAAAATTACAAAATTTTTGCCCTAGAAAGAATCTCATAAAAAAAATTTCAGCCAAATCAGAGGTGATGTGGTCATTTTTTGCCATAATCCGCCCGGTTTGTAAACGAATGACCCACATAGTATTACTATACTATATATATATCCATAGATATGGAGTAAGAAATGGAAACTTCTCAGGGTATGGATTTTCTATTTATTAATATTACTAATAATTCTATATATTAAATCACGCTTTTAGGGTAATGATATAAATCACTAACAACATATAGTGCTCAATTCTCGATTTATTTTATAATATATTAAATGCTTAAAATATTTGAGTAAAGATTCATAATCTAGGTTCATTTGTCTAGAATAGATTTACAGTGATATTCCTGCAACTCTCACTGATTATACCTCAGTCATTATTTAACCATTTGTCTCACTTTAAGCTGTTTTGGTATTCTTGCAATCTTTAGTCTTAGTGTTACAATTATATGATAGTGAAAGTAGCAGATCATAAGATAAAAAAGTTGTATTGATATAGTAGAATAAGTTAACAAAAAAATGTATAAAATGATACCTCAAGAAGTAAATATATTTAAATATAGCAATCTAGTAAAATTGCTAGAAAATATGTAGCAAGGACACAAACCACTTTATAGTAAATTGGTTTTGCAAGAAGCTGTATATGAGCTTTTTTCAAAAAGCTCGATTAAGACTTTTCATATTTAAATGAAAACTTTGTATAATTGCAAAGCTACAATTAAGCTTTACCTATAATATTTTTAATGAATTGATTTAAATTTGTTTCATATATCGACGTCCCTGAACCCAGATATTGAAGACTTTTTCGGAATAGTCGCAAACTATGGAGCGAATAAACGGATTTACTCTATTATATATTATTTTAGTTATAATTGTGTCAATTGAACTTTGGAAAAACAAAATAATTAATTGAAGTAATAGAAGTCCGCGGCTGTCTTTAGCAACTTAGATAGTATACCGCAATTAGTTCATGTATCTGTTTTTTTTTTTATCAAATCTGATTATCGGATATTTTATGATGGACTTGGAATTTTTTTCCTATTCACCTTATTGTTGTAATATATTTCTGGGTGTATGTAAAGCAAGTTGACGATGAGAAATTGGAGCATTGTTTCTAAAACTTTGTTCTCCCAATAATTCCAGTGTTCCCTCTGCGTAATATACGCAAGTAACGGTCGGAAAAGTAGGCAGCCAGTGGAATATTTCTCTTATTTCGAAAAGGCAGATCATTAAAATTTTCCAAATCAATGCCGTCATTTTGCCCATGTATTACAATTTGATTGTAATGTGCGGTAAAGTTTATTAATGGGGAGACTTCATGCTTAGTGTTATTCTAAAGCTGACAATGTCAACTTATGTTACGTGTAAATTTAAGTTGCCACCCCCACATTCCTCTTTAACATTAAAATTTCGTCACTGTGAAGTGTTAGCCAAACATTGAGAAACACTAAACTAGGGATAAGTTTATTGATTCCCTTTTTTGATTGAATCTATATCATTCTAGTTCCACACCAATATTTAGATACTATTCTATTAGCCTGATTGAGCATGAACCAATCTATCACAATAATCCTTAAAGCACGCAGTGATATGGTGACATAGTTCCCAACCCTTTAAAATGTATCTATCTATCTAACAATTTAATATATCATAGTTTAATTTGTCAAAATTTAAGTATAAAAGGTATGATTTGTTAGGTAAAAGTAATTTTAAAAGATATTATTCCATTAAATATCTACATATATTTTATATAACAATTCATATCAGATAAATAATACCTAAAAACACTTTTGACTAATAAAATGATAAAAGCATATGATTTCTTTAATGAGCGTTACGTTCGCTGCATTTGTGGAGATGTCTTGGACAGCAGAGCGAATATATTAAATTTGTCTAAGCACTCCCTGAAAGAAGTACCAGAGATGATTCGAGAATATAGTTTCTTAGTAAAACTATATTTGCACGTAAATGAAATAAGTACTGTGAGTTCAATACAAGATTATATATAATTCTAGTGTATTTTAATTAAAGTATAACCTTTCTTTAAGCTACCATCAATTTCCAATCTAACAAATTTGAAAATCTTAACATTGGATTTTAATCAACTTCAAGAATTTCCAGTTGCTGTTTGTAGTTTAGAAAATCTACGTTTTCTTAATATTAGTCACAATAACATAGAAGAGATACCAAAAGAAATCGGAGAATTGAAATTCTTGGAAGTTTTGTGGTGTAATCATACAGGTCTCATGAGCATAGCAGAAGAAATTGGTAGTTGTATAACACTGGACACACTGGGAGCACGAGGAAATAAATTAGAAACTCTTCCTGAATCAATATGTTTATTAGAAAACCTACGCTGGATATCGTTTGAGTCAAATCAAATAAAAAACTTACCAAATCAATTTGGTGCTCTAACTCAGCTAGATCATCTGAATTTAAAAGATAATCAACTACAAAGTATTCCAAAATGTGTTCCGTACATGAGAAGCTTACAGTGCATTTCTTTGAATAATAATAGAATACACGAACTTCCCTCTGATACTGATTTACAACTCATGTCAGATATAAAAGTCATCAATATAAGTAATAATCCGGTTTGTGAGCTAGTTCCAGACAATTTCTTTGAAGTAAGTACATTGAAACTTGTTATTACTATTAATTAAAATTATATTAAAAATTTTTTAAAATAAATTAAATTAAATTATTTTTAAGCTTCACAGTCATATTGTAAGCTCAGAAAAAGCCACACGAAACAATAGGCCGACATCTTCAGCTGAAGAAAATGATCTGGAAAGTCAAAGAGATAACAATAGTGATTTTGAAAATAGTGTTCGATCTAGTGAAATAAACTCAGAGGAAGGGAAGTTGCGAATGTCCAATTTCATTTTTTATCGTTTCCGTAATTTTTTTAGAAGTATCAAAAATGTGTTAACAAGTTTCGTCCATCGTTTTCATAATCGTTCTTCTTCTTGATATAATGTGAAAGTCATTATGTGATTATATTTTTCTATGGAATTTTTTATATATAAATGTAATTGGATATTATGATTTTTGAACTAAATTTTGTCAATAGTTCTGAAATAGTACTAGAGAAGTTTTCGAGCATTAAATCAGAAGGTCAGAATTTTAGTACCAACCCATTGCACTTTAAATAAAACGTGAGCGACTTTCGATTCATGGAATGATTTGAACTAATATAATATAATTTGATTAATTTATAATAATGCATTTAGTTCACAATAGACTTTCCGAAATTTCACAACAGTATGAGGGTAGATATTTTAATAATATTGTATACCACTTATTAAGTTTGTAGCTTAAGTAATGTAATTTTCAAAATTATCTACCAACATATGTTGGATGATATATATTTGTGTTATATATTATCTCTACATCTACATCTACACATCTGTGATGGAACTCCAAAAAAGTATGGGGAACATTTGATTATTTTGCTCTCTGAGAAATAAATATCTATAAAATCTAATCAAAAATTATGTCTGAATATATATGTAAAATTTTGCTTTGAAATTGGCTTGGATGTAAATGTACACTGAGAACAGGTCACAACTAAACTCAGATTTAGGTTTAGCTATTTGTCAAACCGTTGTTTATCATAAATAGTATCTTTGTTCAACATAACTATAATTATTTACTCTTGATTTGTGTCACGATCACAGCTGTGGAAGTATTAGTCTTGATAAACTTGTTGAACTTTTCCGTTATTTACACAAATCTAAGTTAGAAGTTATGTATTGTACCGTGTCATCAAAGTGCAGGTTAAACTCAATTACTCTTTCAAGTTGATCAACCTGAGCGCACTTTAAATCGATTCTCAGTAATTTTTCTAATTATAAATTTTACGATGTTAAAATATGTTTATTTGGAATATTCTCATTCCATATGATATGATCCATATGTTTATTTTGTGGTACATCAACGGGTCATAATTTATGCTTAAGTGGGCTTTGAGCACCAGGCCGCAACTGCAACTTAACCTTACCTATAATATAGTAAGTATAATATGCGTTATATTTCTTGTGCCATTGATACTGGCGAGTCATTATGACTAGCTACAATAGCAATATTTAATTGAATTTTCTGAAGAAAGTAATATTGAATTTTCAGAAGAAAATAACAGCTTGCTTTAATAATACCAATTCGAATAGGATTCAATAGGATTCGAACTCTGGTATTGGTATATTTGTGGTTAGTTAAATTTGAGTTAACTAATTGTGAATATATCACAGTTTTTGAATGTTGTCAGTTGTATGGTGAGTATAAAGTTGAGTTTTAGATATTTTTTTGGTAATTTTTGTACTGGAAATCCAGTTCTCACAAAGTAATGCACCGGGCAGACGATAACCGCAAAGAATTGTGACATTCACAGTTTAATGAAACTTCAGTCAATTCAAGTTTTGCAGCTGTCTCTGCGGCTGCTTTAAAACAGATATATATACATATACTATATTCAAATCACACTCAGTAAACTGAATGTGGTTGTGATATGAATAGAGCATAATGACAGAGTATAATGTTGTTGTAGAAGAGTCTAAATCTAAATATCTAACCATTTGTTTTTAGCTGTAAAATGTCTTTTATGTGGGTTTTTTTATTTATGTCTGAGAGAGTTAAATGTAAAATAACCAATTAGTGGTTCTTCTATATTAAATTAATTATATAAAAGACAAAACATTGTTAATAAATTATTTGTTGAAATGCATTTATTTGAAAATTCTTTCTTCAACATTGCAATCACAATTAATAAAACTCACAACTGAGGAACCAAAATTATTGCTCTTGCGATTTTATTAAATTTAACTACTACTCTTACAAGTAAAAGGACGTTTTCCTTTAAACAATAAATTAAATTTATTTGCTTGGTTGGTTATATAAATGTCCTTAAAATTAATTAAACGAAACACCTTCACAAAATATAGTATTCTTTCTCTTATATATTAAATGCTGTAAACATAAAACTGATGCAGTAAAGTTTTATCTATCCATAAATGCTTGAAATTAATTTAAAAAAAATATTTACAAGATATATTATTATCTGAAGTGAATTATATTTTAATCTTGAAATGAAAACATTAAAGTGAAATATTGCCAAATTTTTACTCTTGCCATTCAAAAGTCACTTTTGACAATAAAATTTGCGTAGAAAGGCTTTCTGTATCGGAACAGTAAAATGTAAAATAAACAAAATGAACGAAATAAACGAAATAAAATAAGATTGCCTTAAAAGATAAGCTTTATTTGTTGAGAAAATATCAAAAATAGCAAAAATATTATATCAAAATATCACAAAATGCATTGAAGTGTTTAGACAATATTTTTAAAGGAAAGCAATTTCGATGTAAACCTAATTTGGAATAATATTGCATAAACAAATACTGGCTTATTTTCGTATTTCGCTTTTCTATCTGCATAAATTGTATCTCATATTTCGATTTCAACACGGAGAAAGTGAACGCACAAACGCACAAACGCACAAACGCACAGACGCACTGACGCACAAACGCACAAACGCACAAACGCACAGACGCACCACTGCACAAAGGTTTATGAACATCATTTTTACTTCGAATTATGAACGTTAAAAGGACGATTTAATGGCAGACAGAAAACAATTGCAGGATTTAAACGAAATTTTATTTGTTTCGGTTATTTTTAGTCATTTTATGGTTTTTAGTTTGAATATTCCTGCCTTGGATTGTTAAATCAGCAAAACTCCTATAGCATAAAAATATTAAATTTATTTAATTTATTTTAATTAAATTTATTGTAAATAGTTTTCAAGTTTTGCAAATATTGGTTCGGTAGTATTAGAATAAATATTGCAGGATATGCAAGGATATAGAAAGGCACTTACGTGAGTTGTGCTGTTATTGCGAAATTGAAATTGAAACTGAAAGCCTCAAAGTAAATATTAAATTTAGTTAATGAAATGAAATGTTAATAAATAGACGCAAGGCATTAAGTATGTTGATAATATTTAAGTAAATATAAGTATTAAGTTAGTCAATATGGCAGCATGGCTTCTATATGAAGCAGAACTAAGAATGAGAAAACCAAGAAAATCTCATTAAAATAGGAAAATAATGTGATTTTTTGGAAGTTTAAGTACAACTCATATGAACAGAATACCACAAATAATTATTTACTATTGATTCACAACATATAACTATATAGTATGTACATATAAATAAGTATAGCAAAATCACAAATATTTATTTATTTGAGCGAAAAACCTAACAGTTCAGTTCCTTATTTCAAATTAATTTTAAAATTAATTTTACTATTAACTCACAAATAAATAAATATATAATAATATATAATATTTATCATTGGCTCACAATACATGAGATTTTGTAATCTTTTTTTTGATAAAGAAATTTATATGATTTAAACATGGTACTTATACTTTATATCATTTTTTTACTAGTCATTTGATACAGGCATACTATATATGTAGGGAAATTTACCCTACAATACTTGAGAGTTTTAAAAACAATAGTGAATAGTAACAACAAAATTTTTATTTACTTTTTATTTAATTGAAGTTTTAACTGATCATATACAGCTGTTTCGAGTATTGCTAAATACCCATCATCAGTGGTCTTGGAAATAATTCTTGTATTTAATTATTGTAAATAGTTTTTTGCTACAGCAAGTATCAAGGATTGAACTCGTGCCCTGCCACGTTTGAAGCTCAGAGTCTGCGTTCATTAGCCAACTTAACTTGTATATTCGCATTTTTTTTGGAGTTTTGTTAATTTGTACTGAAAAATTTATTTAACAAATTCACTTATTGTGTTATAATTTTTTGTATAAAATTAATTATTTTAAAGAATTTGTAGCGACACATATTAACTCCGAATAAAAAATTCTAATAGACTGCTTTGAGGTTCTAGAGATATTCTGTTACTTTGGCTCCCAATAGGAGAGAGCATTTCAAAGTCGTAGAACATTTCTTGTTGTTGTAACCTAGTTTAAAGTGTCCTAGATTATTTAAAATCACCCAAATAATTTATCAAAATTGAACGCGGTTCTTATTACAGTGCGTCATCTAAATGGTCTCAGACACTATTGAGTAATAGCACTTCAGATACTAACTGGCGTTTGATGAAGCAAGAACTAGAAGAACTCTCCATATATTAAATTTATATAATATCCATTGTATTATTTACTGTAAAACTATAAAAAAAAAACTATACATAACTGTTAATTGTTTCATCATCCCTTTTTAAGTCCATAAAAATAAAGAATTTCTACTATAATGTTCAATTTAATATTTTATTTTAAATTGTTTCAAAATCTTTTTGTTCATTCTGTGTCATTTGCTCTCGACTCCATGGCGAACCGGGCATTTACATAGCATCCCAATCTTTTCACTAGAAGCAAAATAAAATATTATAATCATAACCTCCTAATAAAGCTACAATAACCCGCCGGAGCGGAGCGGGGTGGTCGGGTGCAATTTCTTCTTTTACACAATCAACCATGATATTGTTGACATTGCATGAATTGTTAATTTGGCAGCGCTTGTATACGAAAATGTCCTGGAGCATATTTAAATTGTGCTCCTAGTGAAAACTTATAAAATTCGGTACGAAAAATCTTCTTTTCTATTTGCAAATGGAAGGATGAAAAATATAAAAAACAAAAGTTTAAAGAAAACAAGGAAAATTTCTTATCACAGTAGTAATTAAACCAGCAGACATTTTATGTACACGGAGACCTTTGGGCTGTGTTTTAAGTGCAAATCTTTAACTTCTAACTCCAGTTTATAAGGACAATAATGACAATAATGAATCCTTTTAATAAAAAACAAGTGACATTGGAAATATTATTCTCTTCAATTTATTTCAATTATTTAAAGTGTACAATGACTTGGAGATATAGTTTTTAATAAGTACTTTTCAATATTCCATTTAATTAGAAAGTAAAAATATTCAAAATATATTTCTTAAAAGTTTTTATGTTTGATTTGATTTATTAGTAATAAATAAATGTCTTTAATAATATAAAGAAGTGTAAATATTGTAGTCAAAAATGGATAAATATATTTAATCTGGTAAGCAACATCGTATTCAATTCTTAAACTGCCAACTGCCAAATAAGTGACTGAGCTTTTTCCGTCTTCCTCGGAAGGAGTAATTGATTTTTGCTTATAAGAAATGTTAAATCTTCACCAGGTACTGTAGACTCATTCTTTTAATAAGTCAACTTATCATTTACATATAAAGCAATAGAGAATATTGTTTGGGAAGGTCATCCAGTGAAGGCAGAGAAGTAACCAGACCTGTGACAAGGCGGGATATAATGCAAAATATATTTTTTGCAATGTTTTTGTAGAATATGTTGTGAAGGAGGAATCAATCTTTTAAACCGCAAACCTTGCCCGAATACGTCACTGCAAAGAACGCATTAATAGTTGAGCTAAGTATTATAGTTTCTTTTTTTCATGG